CTGCGCTATCGTCGGAGATTGCGAGGGCACAACCAGTCGGCACAGAATCCAGCGAGCGAGTCCGCCCAGGCTACCAAAAAAATTGGCAGCATATCTACGGAGTGAATGATGGACAGTGGGGCGAAGCATACGTCTGTCCATTCGTTCTTGCTTCCTCCGTCCGTCAATGCGTCCGTGTGTGTGACCACCCACGCGTCCATCCGCCCGTCGGTGCGTGCGTCTGTTCGTGCGTCCGTCCTTGCGTTCGTCCATGCATCCGCCCCTGCGTCCGTTCATGCATCCATCGAATCATCTGTCTGTGTGTCTATTCGTCCATCTATTCAACACTCCAAGTACCACCATCTCGCATCTTTTTATTTTATATTCCCCATATGGAAGCACCACCATTCAGCGGACATTTCAAGGACTAAACGAGAGGTGGCGCACGCACATTTTCTTACGGCTTGCACTTCGGGTCTACTTCCCACCTTTAACCACCTCGAGCTCATGGTATATACTAGTTCAGTGTATTAATGGCAGTGCGGCCCAACGCTCGCTAAACCTTTCTAAAACCAAAAAGGTTACGCCCAGCGAGTATGACGTAGCAATCTTTTTCAGTCAGATAGGGCTCAATGTACATGCCGATGGCTGCTAATGGGAAATGAGAGACGGGAGAATTCGGCTTTTACTTTCTTACGGCTTGCGCTTCGTATCTACTTCCCAACTTTAACCACCTCGAGTTCATTGATGGTATATACTAGTTCATTGTATTCATGGCACTGCGGCTCAACGCTCGTTAAATCTTTCTAAAATTAAGGAGGTTACAACCAGCGAGTATAACGTAGCAACATTTTCTTGTCAGATAGTGCTCAATGTACATGCCAATAATGGCTGCTAATGGGGATTGCAGCGTGCGCGTTAACTAAAAGCTGCATTCTCCTGTCTCTCATTCACCATTCGCAGCCATTGTCATGTACGTTGAGCACTATTCTTTATTGTTCATCAAGGCACAGAAAAAATCTCTCACCAGCACCACCTCGGAGGTCAAAATGTTATACTTGTTACATACTACAACGGCTACGAAAAACAAACCGGTGCCGCTATAGAAAGCTTCGCCCCTAAAATGTGACCTTGTTGTACGTCCTCCGGGTTTTGAGCTCGCCGTCATCGCTTTGCAACCAATGTAGGGCTATTGCCTTTGTTTTACAGCGCAACCTGTTATGAGATCACAACTCGGGTTTCGCGCATCGCCGTAGTTGTTCGCCGTCACCGGTGTCCGTAGCCACATCGCGCGAATTTTGAATAAAAACCTACCATCAATGACACAGTGAGGCTCGAGCCCGGGTCCACTGGGTATCAGCCCAGTATTTTACCACTGAGCCATGCCGGTGCTTGGGACTTGTTGGCAAACTTGCCTTAGGCAGGCTTGATGTCGGGAAAGCAAACGCGTTAATACGACTTATAAAGCGTTTTAAAACAGCGAAAGATTGAGCAGTGATCACCCAATGCAAATAGCGAAACGAGCGGACTATCCAGTGTTCTAACCCATTACAAAAGCTTGTTTTCGTTCAGCTATAAACTGTGGCGCATACCCACTTCAGGCGTAATTCCTCAGTGCCTGCAGCCACTGCATGTACAATCGGCACATAAGTCCTTGCAAATGTTCAGCGGATACAACACATCTCAGAATGGCGAAAAATGGAATCGCAAACGCTGTGCTACTACCCTAAAATTTTGTCATTAATTTCGTGGTGGGCATCAAGCAAGTGTGCTTGGAGTAGTTACCCAATTATTGTTTATAGAAGGCTCTGAAAGGCCACTCTTTTAGCTTTCGCTGTGACTGTGCTGCGCCTTCCGTGCATGCAGGTCTGGCGTTTTTTTTTTTTAAGGAACCAGTGGAGAGTAGTAGAATTTAGCCAATCGCTGCGGCGTATATATACCCGCCCATGATGACATATTTTCTGATAAGCCGCTCAGTGGCGCATAGCCATTTCAGGATGATACCTTTTGCACTCATTTATTGTGGAGTGACAGTGTACAGTGAGGTTTACAGAATTTCTCACAACTTGTAGGTGGCTTAAGCAGTTTTGCCGTTAAGAGCGCTGACAAAAGGGACGTCTTTGCTCGGTTTTGAGGATTTAATATGAACATACTTCTTATGAAGAGTCAGTTTACTCTTTCAATAACGGGTATGAGTTCAAGAGACGTCGCTTCAAACACAGACTAATGAGAAGCTCACCTTCGATATCGCTGCCAGCCGGATTACTCAGGGTTCACTTATTGCGCTGTCATTGCGTATTTTCAAACAAAGGCGAAAAACAATACAGTGATAGTTTTGTTTCCTTAGAGAAGAAAATGAAATAAGGGAAATTCCGGTATGTTAAAACAGCATAACAAAACTGGTACGCTGCCTTACGCCGGGGAAAGGGGGAATCGAGAGATGTATTTTGCTATTGATATGTAATAATAATAATAATAATAATAATAATAATAATAATAACGTTTCCTTTTTCAAAAAAACCAGTAAATATGCCTATAGGCTTGCCAAAGCCGATGGGAAGCCTGAGTGGCTGAGCCTGAGCGGCAGAGCCTGGCAGGCGAAAAACAAAATCAAACACTTTACGCAATTGTAGTTATTCGCACAACAGAGATTATAAGACAAAAAAAAAACGTGCACGTTACATTAGAAGCACAGGGTGTACAAACTGTAATCATCCATATTATACAGAAGATACAAAAACTGAAAGCGAACAAAATGCAGAAGACCAGTGATCACAAGCAAAGTGACACACTAAATGATTGCTCAGAAGTATACTTGCAAATGAGTGCATAGAAAAGAACAGCAGATCCACATTACACGCAGAGACAAATGCACGATAGCAGTTACTTTATTTGTGTTTTGTTTTTATGCGGAAAATGCTTAGGGGCAGTACATTGAAACAAGTTAGAACATCATGTGCTCGTGTCCTATAGTTTCGTATACCTTGTCGAACATCCTGGTTTCCGATAACGGACTTCTGGCTTTATTGAACAGGAAGTGGCATACGGAACCAAGAATTCTTCGGACCAGTACCGTTTTCAGATAACCATTGTTACTAACAAATCATTGAAATTAGGCATCAACGCCATTGTGGAAATGTCTCTCTCAGAATTCATACTGAGGTCATAAGATATATTTTCATTAAGACTGACGTCTGTATATGTTATCTAATTCATTGTACCAAGCCAGCGGGAAGCACAGTGTCCGTTAACAGTTATCCCATAACGCAGCAATACTGTAGCCGAGAGCATGTGTTATCATCTTCTATACTGAAAATGGCGTGTAGTATTTTATATTTTATAGCAAACATAACACAGCGCGAAATTGTTTGCAAACATGAGCGAGATGGTTATTCCAAGAAAAGTCGCTATCGATGTATAAGCCGAGGTACTTACCAACAGATAAATACCGCAATGGTTTGCAAGAGCAGGATGAACAATCAGAACAATGAGGAATGAGAGGATAGTCTACAGTTACCTTCTCCAATAGCTGATGAAGACAGATTATATTAGTTTTAGACGCATTTGTGTTAATAAAGTTGTCTCGAAGCCAAACGATGGCTTTAGTGGCAGCTGACTGCAGAAGAGTAATGACTTCATAGAAGTTCTTCGCAGACGTCATGATCACCATGTCGTCGGCATATTGATATAAAAAACCGATATTGTACTATAAAGGTCATTTACAAAAATATCCAAGAACAATGAACTGAAAATGTATCCCTGTGGAACGTCGGTATAGATGGCTTGAAAAGCGCTATAAGATTACCCAACGGATACTAGTTGGTGCTTGTCTTCTGGAAAATTTGGCAGCGAACACCAGAAAGCAACTCTAAATCCTTATTGGAAAATTTATCCTAATAGAAAGTATGTTGTAAAATATAAAAAAAGCCTTGCAATAGTCAAGAAGGAGCGTAGGCGCAACCTTGTTATTATCGATCACTGCATTCAACTGATCAGTAAAGTCAGTGTTGCAGGGTCGCTTGCAACACTTTTACAGCATGGTAAGAAAACACTGCCGATCGGTAGTAGAGGCTCACAACAACATGCGAGCCAAATAATATAGCACAGCATGGGGCCTGAAATTTAAAATAAAGAATCAGACAACCAAAAATTCTCTTCCCTTCTCTCAACAAATGACAGAAGACGCTCAAAAATCACTCGTAACAAGCCCATCTGTCAGCCATTAACAGATTTGAACATGGCGCGTTTGGTCCTTACAGAGATGGCCACGGGAGGCCGCAACTTGTCCACGCGTGCGCACGCGATCACACCGACACAGCTGCGTATTCGATTGAAAAAGAAATTTGAAAAGTGCTCAAGGACACGAGGCGTGGGTGACGTACTTTCCTTGCCCCTGTTATCCCTTCCTAATTAACTTCCAGCGCTTTCGTCGGAACGAGAGAAGAGAGAATGTAATTTCAGCGTGCAACAAACCTTTGTAACTCCACTCGCACTGGACGAATTATAAAAATTTTTGCGGCATTGAATTCGTAAGGCAATAAGCTCTTCCAGTGAATTCATTCCATGATTATCACCCCACCGCGGTGGTCTAGTGGCTAAGGTACTCGGTTGCTGACCCGCAGGTCGTGGGCTCGAATCCCGGCTGCGGCGGCTGCATTTCCGATGGGGGCGGAAATGTAGGCCAGTGTGCTCATATTTGGGTGCCCGTTAAAGAACCCCAGGTGGTCGAAATTTCCGGAGCCCTCCACTACAGCGTCTCTCATAATCATGTGGTGGTTTTGGGACGTTAAAACCCACATATCAATCAATCAATCATCAATCGATTTCATGATTACTTGAAAAAGAGTTTCAGGGCCCTTTAAGCACCTGCGCTTCGTGACCTTTCACTAGGAGAAGGGAGCATGGGTCATGGCATTGTGAAAAATGCAGATTAACAGTCTCAGAGTGGTATTGATCATAATTTGCTAATATCGCAGAAATTTTCTGCTCTATAAAAGAAGGACGCCTTCTGGTTCTTTCAGTTGTCGGAGTACCCGCCGGAATCGACCAAGCATACTCCTGAGACATCGTGGCTCATGGCTGCTGTGTGACGTAAGGGCGGACGACGAAAAAGTGGTTTCGACGTGGCTGTCGTTTGCTCAAATATAAAAAAGAGCCTATTGTGTCCAGGCTGGTCCATACGCAACCACAATCCTGGTGGGAATGGTAGTGGATCGTCTGCTTCTTTGTCACACCGAATTAAACTGGAACTTAGAGCTGTATACGCTCCAAACGAAGCTACGCACACTCGTATCCTGACCGAAAAAACTCAGCGGACGTGAGAGAACCATAGTGTCGACTGCTTTGAAGGAGCACGTGTTCGCAAAGGGTGAAGACCTCAGGTGGAAAAGTGTGCGCGCCCGTGAAGAGAGACGCACAAGTGCGGTCGTGGGCACAAAGCGCAGCACCGAGAAAGTATGCGCAGAGGCAATGAGCCCGTGAGCCGGATAACAGTGAGGATTTAGACACAGTAGATTGACCAGACGGTGTCACACAATTGAGATAAGCAATAGAGCCCACCTCCTTGCCTCTCCCACGAGTGCACACGTGAAACGAGATACGTAGATTACCTGGCGCTAATGTATGCGGACAGAACAACCGAGAAACGGCAGTAGGCCGAGACACTGCTTTCAGAATCAGTGGCACTTCGTGCGAGGTCGAGTCATAAAAGCCCGCGCACGCGGAAAGAAGCCCAGACATTACAACACTAATTGTCGCCTCTCCCTGCGGAAGAGTTCTGGAAGGGGAAATCGAAAGGGCAAGGCCGAGGGTGTACCGCAAGACGCTCCTGAACCAGGTAAAGGACACTCTGTAAGCACGTGCGAATGTACCACAGGATTACGGCGGCACAGCCAGTGCACCGAAACACAATACCTACCTAGGTGGAAAGCACTCCGAAAGAGCTGCAAAAGTCAGTGAAAGCTCACCGCATTACGCGCAGCAGTTGTGGTCACTGCTACTTTCTGTGGTTAGCGTGCGTGCAAAACGACTCCTATACTGAAGCCGGGGCACTGCTGACGAGCTTCGTTCTAGAGGTCCCGTTCTACTGGAGACTCGAAACACACACGGGTTTTTCCAGGAAAACCGTTAAAGATAGCCTGCTCTTTGACTGTCTGTGGAATAGTGCATAGAAACGGGGAGAAGTGTGCGTACGAGGCAACCACCTCAAGGGCCACCGTTTGATAACGCCCGCAAAAGACACTCTTCACAAGGAAGAGTGCAAGATGGCTGCCACTCACTTCGCCGTGCTGGACTATGTCGTGCTCATCGGGTTCCTGGTGCTCTCCGCGGGCATCGGCGTGTTCTTCGCGTGGCGAGACCGGCGGCACGGCTCCAACAAGCACTTCCTGACCGGAAACAGAGAGCTTAGCTGGCTTCCGGTGTCCATGTCCATGATGGCCAGCTTCCTGTCTTCCATCGCCATCCTCGGACTTCCGTCGGAAGTGTTCCTGCGCGGCTCGACCATCTGGACCGGTGCCATCTCATCCAGCATGGCTGTGCTTGTGGCAGCATTCGTATTCCTGCCCATGTACTACAAGATGGACATCACCAGCATTAACGAGGTCAGTAAGCCCCCTAAATCCATTCATGTAACTTTAATCACTGGGTTTCGCATCTTTGCGGCAAGGGATATTGCAGAGAATGGCACGAATTAGATGTTAATTAGGGGCGAATGAACATCGTTGTTTTCGGCTCCAATGTTACCTGATATGCGTACCAAATGAATGGCTTCACCGTTAATGTGAAGACTAAAAACACAAATTTGCTTTTCATAGTATATTTACACTGTGTCACTGCGTTGACACAGTGTATATTTACACTGTGTCATTTACACTTAGTATATTTACACTGGTATATTTACACTGTGTCACTGCGTTGGTACGACATCTCGCAAGAAGAACTAATATCTTTATTTTCCGGGTATTCGACAAGGCAGCCCCATAACCTCTCTATCACACCCTTTCAGTCTCGAAGTAATTGTTTCAAGTATTAATTTTTGCCGAAGACAGTCACTTACTAGAACAACCAAACAAATGACGTTGTTGAACAGCCATCCCTTGAAAAGTTTGCGTCACGTTCCATTTAGTATTATATATATATATATATATATATATATATATATATATATATATATATATATATATATATATATATATATATATATATATATATATATATATATATATATATATATATATATATATATATATATATATATATATATATATATATATTGTAAGGAGGCAACGTTTTGGCTGCAAGACACCTCTTTTACTTGCCGAGCCTCTGCCCCACAACACAGGTCAGACTGATGATGATGAGTATGTACAAATGGTAAGATGACGCGTATGAATAATGCTCACACTTATTTCCCCCCCACGCGTGCTCACAATATATATATATATATATATACTTGTATGTTGTCTTTATTGTTGTTAGTATTCTTTACAATTATATAAAAGATTTCTTGTTTGATTTCTGTTGCACTCAAATATTCGGTGAACTCAATCATACTTTCGTATTTATGAAGTTCATGTGTGAATTGATGTTTGCCTTGCTATATTTATGATTGTATTTCCCACCCTGCCATAATCCCTCGCTCGGGATTGCAGTATTTTTAAATAAGTAAATAAATAAATAAATATTAATAAATAAGTAACAAATCCACGTGGAAATCTTTATCAACCAAGTATGCCTCACAAAGTTTCACTGAAATCGGGGTAGCGACAGTACGTGAACAATAAATAGGTTCTGCTCGTTCCTCTAGATATTGCCCACCGAAAAAAAAATGGAAGCATCCGTCCATCGTTCTTGCTTCCATCCGCCCATCCGCCCGTCCGTGCGTGCGTCTGTTCATGCGTCCGTCCCTGCGTTGGTCCATGCATCCGCCCCTGCGTCCGTTCATGCGTTCATCTATGCATCTGTCTGTGTGTCCGTTCGTCCATCTATTCAACACTCCAAATACCACCATCTCGCATCTTTTCATCATGTATTTCCCATATAGAAGCACCGCCATCCAGCAGACATTCCAAGGACAAAACGAGATGTGACACACGCACACTTTCTTACGGCTTGCGCTTCGGGTCTACTTCCTACCTTTAACCACCTCGAGTTCATGGTATATACCATAGTTCACTCTATTCATGGCACTGTGGCCCAACGCTCGCTAAACCTTTCTAAAACCAAGGAGGTTACGCCCAGCGAGTATAACGTAGCAACCTTTTCCTGTCAGATAGTGCTCAATGTACATGCCGATGGCTGTCAATGGGAAATGAGAGACAAAAGAATTCGGCTTTTATTTTCTTACGGCTTGCGCTTCGTATCTACTTCCCACCTTTAACCACCTCGAGTTCATGGTACATACTAGTTCATTGGGTTCATGGCACTACGGCTCAAAGCTCGCTAAACCTTTCTAAAACTAAGGAGGTTACATCCAGCGAGTACAACGTAGCAACCTTTTCCTGTCAGATAGTGCTCAATGTACAGGACAATGGCTGCTAATGGGTATCGCAGCAAGCGCGTTCAATAAAGCCAAATGCACTTGTCTTTCATTCGCCCTTAGCAGTCATTGGCATGTACATTGAGCACTATCTTTTATTGTTGAACAACGCACAGAAGAAATCTCTCACCGGCACCACCTTGGAGGTCAAAGTGTTATACTTGTTACACACTACAATGGCTACGAGGGACGAAGGGGTGCCGCTATAAGGAGCTTCGCCCCTAAAATATATTTTCTGTTCATTACGTTTGTTATTTGTTAAGTGTTTCTTGAGGCAGCATTTTTTTCTTCAGATATTTAGGACCATTTCGGCGCCACGAATGTAGTTGCTTCACGAAACAATGTATATTTTTCTCACAAATCTATTTCATACCACAGACTGGGGATATACATCGGCTGCATGTGCCACCGTGTGGGTAACCGGCTCGGACTGGTTCGCGACATTTCCCTAGTCGCCTTAAGTTCTTTATAACACCGATAAAGAGTCCTAAGCCACAGGTGAATGCGGCCGCTTATCGCCGTTGTCTTACCGAGAAAAAAACCACACGTACAAGGGGCTTTTCTGGCTATGCACTTCCAGGCCCCACACATCAGAGTGCTTGTATTTACAAACATGTATATAGTAAGCCTGGTTATGCATGGCAGTAGGAATATCAGATAGTAGTGATATTATTCATGGTAATATATTGATTTTAATGAAGTGACCGAGTCTGATTTCTCTGCTATTCCACTATCAAGTTTCTCGTTAGTTCTCATGTATGCAAAAAGAACAGAAAAATTGAACTACGTAACTTTTCCCGCTAATATAAATCTGCATGTGATGTCCTCTCTGGACGATGTACGGTTGGCTTGCAGCTCATTTAAATACAAAAGTATTCAGTTTGTTTTCAGATGCAGCGAAACCTCGATGATGCGATCACTGCTCGTGCGACTTTCGGGAAGATACGATTATTTGTTTTGGTCCCGACAGAGGCTCATTGGCCGGCAATGTAATAGGGTATGATTGTTACGAACAGATCTATACCACGCGACGTTCGATACGAAAGTATACGCTTCTGCAAAGTACGAACATGTGCTGCCGGTGCTATCGCGGAAGGCACGATTCACACGTGCGAGAACCCAAACGGTTGCCTACGCCTTCAATTCATCGGAATAAACCACAGTGGAATAAACCTTCAGTGGTGTGTCGTAGCCTCCGAGATTGTGCGCCGAATCTTAGAGGCCCTAATGTACATTCGTGTGCCTTTGCCTTTAGATTACAGGATGCGTTGTTTTAGAACTTTTTAACGTGTCGACGCGTGATACTGTCGTTGTACTGTGCATTCTACTGTGTATACACGTGCGTTTCACGACAATTGAAGCCTTCTGCTAGCGCATCAGGCATCCTAATAAAGGTTCACGAGGACCGAATGTTGAAGTGGACAGTCTTGGCGAAGCAACTGGGGCTCACAATGTCAACATGTACGATTGTTAGAAACCGAACACTTGCCAACTCTACGATTGCGCGTATGCGGCCGCAAATCTCCCAAAAACGTTCTATAGTTTACAGGCCTTCATCTATCGCGTGCAAAGTGCTCCTTAAGTCACTTTCACCGCAGTACACGTGTCATGCGAAACGGTCCGATGAAGCTACGAAGGGCTTCTTACTAGCTGCCGTAGGTCACAACACGCCTGGTTCAGTAATTATACACGCACGCGGGCGCTATGTTTACGAGTGCAAATATGACCACTGACGTCTGAAAATTTCACTGCCCATAGGTCGGACCTATTCTTGACATTCTTGGTAGCACTGAAAAATATCGAATAGAGCCATAAACCAGCATTTTTTGTTGAATGCTAATTCATCATATTGCCACAGGCATTGAACGAGGTTTAGCCCTGCCAATGCGAGTATGTGCCATGGTGTGAAAGAAGAAGAAGACGGTGGGTGTGTGCTCGTGCTCTAACGTTCGGTTCGGCTCGACGTCCAGTGCTGCTCCTGTGAACAGACGTTGTGGTCGTTCTGTGATCACGTGACATTTTCTGGTGGAGGTGCTGGGTAGTGTTGTATGCACTGCAATCAGCAGCAAGGTCCCGACACTAGCCACGACTTGGAAGAACCAGCTGACCTACGGCGTAGCAGGCGACAACTAGGCCTACCTCCTGAATTCGGACCATTTCCTCAACTCGGCAGTACTATGGCTAGTGCGGGAACGCAAACCCAAGAAACATCAACGCTGCCTCCTCCGTGGTTCTTCAACGTCCCGCGTACTCCGAAGCCGTTCCACGGTGACCCTTATGAGGACGTCGATGACTGGCTCGACGACTACAACCGTTGCGGCAGCGTCAACGAGTGGAACGAGCAGCGAAAGCTTCGGTACGTCTACTTTTATCTCGAAGACTCTGCGCGCACTTGGTTCGAAAACCATGAAGCCACTATGACAACCTGGCCAGAGTTTTGCAACCAGTTGCGAAATACTTTCCGAAACTCTGACCGAAAGGAGCAAGCGGAACGACTCCTCAATTCCCGAAACCAGCGTCCGAACGAGAGTGTTGCCATGTTCGTTGAGGACATGACGCGGCTGTTCAGGCGAGCCGACTCTTCAATGACGGAAGAAAAGAAGGTGCGCCTCCTAATGCGTGGAGTGAAGGAGCAGCTGTTCGCGGGACTAGTGCGGAACCCTCCCGGCACTGTAGAGGATTTCCTTCGCGAAGCCACGACAATGGAGAGAATGCTAAGGCAGCGTTCGTACCAGTATGAACGTCCTGGCAGTCTTTCGTCAGTGTCGTCGGCCCTACAAACACCTGACGTCACGACTGTAAAAGACCTGACGGAGCTCGTGCGCAGTATTGTGCGCGAGGAGCTGCAAAAGCTGCACGTGGTGTCTTCTCCGCCCCATGTTGCTGCTTTAACGGATGTCGTTCGCGAAGAGGTCCGGCAGCTGGTGCACCCCATGACGACTCTGCGTGCAGCCGAAGTTCAATCCATGACGGCCCCGCGTCCAGCCGAAGCTCCGCTATTAACGTACGCGGAAGCACTGCGTACTCCTGCACCGGCTGTTGGCTATCCGTCCCGTCCGCCCA